CGATCTATTAGCTGCCAACAATTTGAGGGCCACACCAAAAACAGTTCTAAGGGGAAAATCAGTAGCTTTAAATACGTTCATCAACAAAAGCAAGAACAGATGACCAAATGGGGCACATAACTTAAGAGGGCAGGAATGAACACGTTTTAAAACTCCATTTAAAAATCAAAATGGAAATCCTAAAAAGGAAAGAGTCTTTTACAAAATTGAAAACAAAAAAAACGTTGAGTCAAGTCAAGTCAATGAGCATTTGTCAAGTGCCTGCTACGTGCCAGGCACTGTGCTAAGTACTGGGGATACAGGAGAGGCAAAAATGGTCCCGATCTGTAAGGAATTCCCATTCTAAGGGAAAAGCTCACATGCAAACAACTATGTCTGTACTACACATCCACGTACACATAAAACATGGTAAATCGGAGGTAATCGCAGAAATGGTTAGCACTGAGAGGGAGCAGGAAAGGCTTCTTGCATATAGTGACCAAAAAAAAAGTAGGAGCTGGTTTAAAAATTAGTAAAACACACCAGATAAACCAACAGTTAATTTGAGAAGGAAACAAAAGAGGAAAACCAAGTTACCGGTATCAAAAATTTTAAAAGGTGAATTCATAACAAATGAATAAAAGAAATTATTAGAAACTATTTTGCCCAATGAGATGCCAATAAATGAAATAGATGAACATTTTAAAACTATGAAATACTCAGATTAACAGAAAGAGAAACAGAGGACTTAAAATAATATGATCTCAGAAAACAAAGGCTGAACATGAGTTCCCAAAAGGGCAAAATCCAAGACCAGCTGGACTTACAAGTTAATTCCATTATTCAAAGAATAATTAATTCCTTAAGCTATGTGAAAAGCAGGAATAGGAATCTTACGAAATTCCTTCTATGGTATAAATGTGGTCATGATGCCTAAAGCCAGGAGGGTCAAAACTGAGAAAGAAAACTATGGACCAATATCCCTAATGAATACTAATGTAAATTTAAATAAAATATTGGCAAGAAGACCCAGCAATGTATCACAAAGATTATACACCATAACCAGGTCAGATTTATATCGGGATCACAGAATTGGTTTATTATTAGGGAAACTATCAACATAATAGACCAAGTTAATAACATGAAAACAAAAATCATAGGATTACTCAATCAATAAACATTTATTAAGGACGATGTGCCAGGCATTATGATAAAGGCTGGCAATACAAAAAGAAGCAAAAGCCAATCCTTGATCTCAAGGAGCTCATAATCTAACAGAGGAGATGGCAAGCTTATTTGCTTTGTACAAATTTATCTATATGTGCAAACTATGTGCAGGAGAATTTGGAAATCACTAAATGAGGGAAGGTGCTAGAATTAAGAGGGGTTGGGAACACTTCCTGGAAAAGATGGGCTTTTAGTTGGGACCTGGAGGAAGACAGGGAAACCAACAGGTATAGATCAAGAGGGACAGCTCTTCAGGAATAGGGGACCGCCAGAGAAAATACCCAGAGCTGAGAGATGGAGGGTCTTGGTGGTAGAACAGTCAAGAGGCCAGGATCACTGGATGGATGAGAAGAGGTGGGGAATAAGGTATATGAAGACTACTGGAAAGGCAAGGCAGGAGGGCCTAGGTCATGAAGAGCTTTGATTCTGTATTTGATCCTGGAAGTGACAGATGCCGGCTACTGGAGCAAGAACTCAAAACTCTTGGGGAAACTGGAAATTAGCCTGGCCGGGCCTAGGCAGAGGCACAGTTCCAACATTAGGCCAACTGTGCAGAATTCTCCATGGTGGTCCCAATCTGGCCCCATCCTTCTCTTTAAGCCTGTGAAGGGCTGGTGATCTTAGCCAATAGTAGATTGGCTGGGCGCTTTCTGCCATGTTGTTTCAAGATTCAGGAATGCAGGTGAAGGGGGAGGATGACACCATCATTCATGAAACCCACTTGAAAAATTTCTCAATGATAAAAGAATTCCAACAACTCTTATACACTACGCTTATGATTTCCTTAGTACTGAGTTCTTGCTTTCTTTTGGGGCTGACACCCCTTTGACCCAGCACCCACCAAACATAGTTCAGAGTTGGCACAGAGAATGATCAGGAGAAAGAAAAGGAAATTGAGAAAGGGAAGTTGACATTCATTGATTAAAAAACCACAGAAACTAACACTATAGTTTCTTCCTCACTCCATTCCCTTCATCTTTTCCTCACACTCTTAAGTTTAGATAACTTGTTTGCTAAAATGAAGCTTTTATTTTGAATTGCTAAAATCTACTCATATCAATTTATTCTTTCTAATTTTTTTTTTAGGCAATCAGGGTTAAGTGACTTGCCCAGGGTCACACAGCTAGTGTCTAGTGTTTAGTCTGAGACCGGATTTGAACTCAGGTACTCCTGACTTCAGGGCCGGTGCTCTATCCACTACGCCACCTAGCTGCCCCATATCAATTTATTCTTAAGAATAATATTGGATGTGATGGAATATTATCGTGCTGTAAGAAATGATGAGCAGGCAGACTTTGGAAAAACCTGGAAAGACTCATATGGACTGATGCTGAGTGAAGTGAGCAGAACCAGGAGAACAATGTACACAGTAACAGCCACACTGAGTGATGTCTGACTTTGATAGACTTAGCCCTTCTCAGCAATGCAAGGATCTAAGCCATCTCCAAAGGTTTCATGATGGAAAATGTTATCCACATCCAAAGAAAGAACTATGGAGTTTGAATGCACATGGAAGCATACTATTTGCTCTTTTTTTCCCTTCTGTTTTGTTTTGTTTCCTCTTTCTGGTAGTTCCTCCTATTGGTTCTAATTCTTCCTTACAACATCACTAACGTGAAAATGTTTAATAGGAATGTATATGTAGAGCCTATAATAGATTGCCTGCTGTCTTGGTGAGGGAGGTGGAGAAAAATTTAAAACTCAAAAGCTTATGGAAGTGATTGTTGATAAATCAAAATAAATTAATAAATTTTTTTTAAAAAATGTTAGAAATTATCTGAGGAAAGCACGGTACCTTTATGTATATCCCAGAATTTATGTGTAACTCAGGATTTCAGGGTTAAAAGGGACGTGAGGAGCCAATTCTTTAATTCCTGCTCCAGTACATTGCAGAAGTGGTTGCCTGGCCTCTGCCAGAAGAGTGCCTGCTGGAGCAACCCATTCCACTCAGGGACAGCTCTCATTGTTCACTTCCCCAGTGTACTTGGTCATGCCTTCTTTGGCCAAAGAAAACAAAGTCAGACCTTCCTCCATGTGGCATCCCCTCAAATACTTGAAGACAACTATGGTCCCATTCTCCCCCCCATCCCTGGCCACCCAAGCTTCAGGTCAAACATCTTCAGTTTCTTCAGCAAATCTTCCTTTGCCATGGACTCAAAGCCTTTGACCACCCTGGCTGCTCTCATCTAGTCGTTATCCAACTCATCAATGTCTTTCCTAAACTGTGGTACCTAGAACTGTATAAATCTGTTCTTTTTTGGTATATGGACTAAACATCGCCACATAAATCTCAGTTTTGTCCAGATCATTTTGGATTCACTGCTGCACAGTAAAGACTGAATTCAAACACAGTCTAGAAGCATTTATTAAGTACCTACTATGTGCTAGGCACTGAGTGCTAACTTGCAGTCTACCCACCCTGGGATCTGGAGTGGAAAGAATATTTATTTATCTACTAAAATTGTGCGGAGGAAAGTATTTTGAAATGCTAACACTGACCCAGAATTGTGACCCTCGGTACTCCCAGAATCTCCGAGGTGAGAGGGCCCTTAGTCTAGGCCCTCGCTTCCACGGGCGGCACCTGGCTCCTAGCTGAAGATCCCCTAGTGGCCCAACACATTTGTACGGCGAGCAGAACCCTCTGCAAGCTCGGGGGTCTGGGAACCACGCTGCCTCCCGGCCCTCAGGGGATCGCTCTCCCCTCCGTCCCGTGAGGTTCCAGGCAGCCTAGCACTTCCTCATTAGTCTCCCGCCTCTCAAATCCATCCTCACCTAGGATGGATACTCTGAAAACAGGGCCAAACCCTTCGTACCCAGAAGCGGTCAATCACTCCCTAGGGCTCCCCGCCCTTCGGCACATACATTCATTCATTCATTCCCTCACTCATTCCCTCACTCCTTCTTCCCATTCATGCTCGGCCGGCTCAGGCCTGGCTCCGCCCCTTAGATGACCCCGCCCCCCACCCCTGCGGCTCCAGTCTGCACCGCCCTCCGTCCTCGGCCATTTGGGGAGCTCGCCCCCTCCCCCAGCGATCCGCACAACAGCAAGCGCTTGATAAACGTTTGTTGGGCCGATGCACTTGGGGCCGGCACAGGCCCAACCAAGTGACACCAACATTGGGTTACGGTCTCAACTTTCACAACCATAGTCCCACCCCCAAGCCCCCAAAGCCCCCGGAAATGATCTCTAGATAGCTGGGATCCACTCCTCACCCCTCCCCTCCCTCAAGCACCTGTGGCCCTCTCGGCTCCTAACTGCCTCCCGCCCCCCCCCACCCCCGGGCGGGGCCTCCTAGGCCGGGCTGTTACCGGAAGTGTCTTCATCTGGAAACCGGGGACGATCTAGCCGGCAGAAGGCTGCTTTCGCTGCCCCCAGAGAGCTTCGCGCGCAGCATGTTCCTCCCACCGCGGGGTGGCGAGAGTGTGCTGTGAAGGGCGCCACTCTAGGCCTGAGGACGGGGCTACTTCTCTGGGCGAAGGGACGCCGTTCTCTATGGCTCCTTGGCGCAGGCCCGGCACAGGCGGGAGGCGGAGCCGGAGGGGGGGGGGCGGTGCGAGCCGAGGCGCAGGCGCAGTGGTCCCTGGGGCGGTACGAGCGACCCGGTCTCCATGGCAACGCCGCACGGCGGCGCCTGAGGCGGGTCCAGAGCAGTCTGAAGGAGGAGCCGGAGGCGTTCTCGGCCTCGGCATGGATGCTCTGTGGGGCGCTGCCCCGCGCCCGCCGCCGCTCGGCCTGGAGCCGTCAGAGAGCCCGGGCTCCACCCCAACGGCGACCCGCCGGCTCCGCCGCCCACCGCTGCCCTGGGCGCGCTTCTCTGGCTGGCTCGAGTGTGTGTGCGTGGTGGCCTTCGACCTGGAGCTCGGCCAGGCCCTGGAGGTGAGGACGTTTGGGGGGCGGGGGCGGGGCGGGCGAGGAGGAGAGGGCGGGGGGGCGGGGCTGGAGAGGGGACCTGGAGCCAGGCCCTGGAGGTGAGGACGAGTGGGGGGCGGGGCGGGAGCGGGGGAGGGGCGGGGCTGGAGGGGGACCTGGAGCCAGGTCCTGGAGGTGAGGGCGGCTGGGAGGTGGGGCTGGATCTGGGGCAGGGATCCCAACCTCTGTAGCCCCGCGCCCGTCCTGGAGAAGGTGCTTCCTCAGTGGCTGGTGAATGAATGAAAAGGCCGGAGGAGAACGAGCCTTGGAGGGTCGTTTGACAGCCGAGGTGTCGCCTCGAAGCCGCGGGCAGCCTCAGTGGAGCAGCTGGGATCCCGGGGTGCAATCGGAGCAGCAGATGTGCCCGCCTCCTCCTGGAGAAAGCTTAGAGGATGTGGGGGGGGGCCGGGCTAGTCAAAAGCACCATTTCTTGGCGCTAGCCCTCGGTGCTTCCTGGACACGCTCGTAGCACGGAGATGCAGCTTGTGTCAGAGCCATCTCTACTTTAGAAATCAGGCGGGGTTGGGAACGAGACAGAGAAGGCTCAAGGATAGAAAATGATGATGGGGCCGGCGTTAGCCACCTAAGGACCATGACTCTCCCAAGTTGGGTTTCTAGGTCTCGGCTCTTCTGTAATAGTAACCTTCCTCTGTAACAGTAGCCCTGAATAAGAACTCGTTTTATTGCCCCCTGCTTATCCTCTTCCCCCTTCCCAGAGAGACATCTTTTTGTCACCAAGCCTGTCTTGGGGCCTTCTGGCAAGAGCATCCCAGGAGGAATCTCTAGAGGGGGATGGAGCATTAGTGGCCTTTTTGTGGTCAGACAGCATTGCCAGCACCAGGGTGAGAATGAAGGATTATGGGAAAGAGAAAAGATGGCTTCTGCTCAGGAAAACTATATAGTCTAGTTGAGACAAAACAAACAGGAACAATTCCAGAACGATATAAGATGGTATTATTAACTGAGATGATATGTCATCCAGGAGGGAGGGCAGGTTAGCTGATATTGTGAACACCCTCAGGTGCCTCTGCCTCCTTTTGGCCTCTTCTCCATAGTTATCTTATCCTTGAGAAATTGAGGTCTTCTGGAGGTCTCAACCAATTAATTCAATTCAAGGGTGGATCTCCTTGTATCTGTATTTCTGGTGCTTACCACAGTGAAAGGAGGGAAGGGAATAAGCATTAACATAGTACCTACTTTGTACTGGCATGGTTCCGATGCTTCTGACAAATATCATCTCCTCTGATCCTCACAGCCCGGTGAGATAGGTGCTGTTATGATCCCTATTTTACTATTGAGGAAACTGAGACAAACAAAGATTGAATGACGTGCCTAGGGTCACCCAAGGGTCTGTGGTCAGATCTGAACTTGGGTCTACCCAAGTCCAGGCCCAGCCTTCTATCCACTGAGCCACCAGCTGCCTCATAAGGTGCCTTGCAGATAATAAGCTCTTTCTAAATGCCTGTTAGCTGACATCTTTGATAGAAACTTGGAGGTAACGTGGTCTCAGAGAATCCGCATGTCTCCCCTCTGAGGTTGTTTCCCATCTCCTCGGATGTGCATATATAATATTATGTCTATATATACACACATGCACATATGCATACATACATATGCACCTAGTTATTTACATACTGTCTCAGAATGTGAGTTTGAGGGCAGGGACTGTTTTTTTGGTTTGGGTTTTTTTTTAACCTTTCTTTGTATCTCAAGTGATACGCTAGACACAAATGCTATTTCATTGATTGGTAGTGAGAATTTCAGGTGTGTGGAAGAGACTTCCTCCTTATGAAAACTTAAAATCTGTTAAACTGAGGGCAAATGAAGATAAAGAGGAGTCTGTTAACCATGTCTTTGGAGGTACAGGCATTAAGCCTGGAAAAGAGAAGGCTTGGGGACATGATTGCTGTCCTCGACTATTAGAAGGGTTACAACATGAAATTGCAAGTAGACTTCATTCACCAAGCATTTTGGGGGCCTGTTGTGTGCCAGGCACTATGCTAGGTACTGGAACTTGTATGGCTCTGGAGGGCAGAACCCAAGACCAATGAGTAGAAATTACAGAGAGACAGATTTCAACTTAAATTAATAAGACCTTTTAAGGGGGAAAAAAAAGACTCCATTTAAAAAGAAAAAAAAACAATTAAAATGTGAGTTTCCACCTGGAGGTATTTGAACAGAAGATTGATGACTCTCAATAATCCTGTTGGAAGGATTCCTCTGTGGCTAAGGAGTTTGATGATTTCTGAAGAGTATTATTCAGCAAATCCTGGAGGCTGGATCACCACGGTAACCAGCAGTTTCAGCCTGGACCTGAGTCCTTTCCACATGAGGAGCAGAGTTAACAGGGAGCGGGAAAAGTTCAGGAGGGAGGTCCCCAGAGATGGGGTAGGTAGGACTTGAGCTCTGGTTTCTCTCATCACTAATTGAGTGAGTCCAGATTGATTCATCTCTAAGGAAGAGGAGACTCAGGAAGGGAGGAACAGAAAGGGAACTATGAGGGGTGATGAAGACTGAACCAGCACAGTGTGATCAATGGGGTGAGATGAAGATAAGTTTGGAGAATGGGATGGGGGTGCCCTGGAGTCAAGAGGAGGCAGCTCAGGATGACCACTGAATGGGGGAGAGGTGCAGGACAGTAAATGGGATAGGATGGGGGTACCCTGGAGTCAAGGGAAGGCAGCTGGCTGACCATGGGGGGGAGGAAACACTGGGATAAGTGGTACAGGGCACTCAGGCTGATCACCAGGGCTCGCATAAGTAAAGGGTTTGGGACTTCATTTCAGAATACAGTTTTGTATGACACAAATGTCATTTACATTGGCTATTTGCTGTTCCTGAAATGCATTCCCTCCCCGTCTCTGCCTCTAAGAATCTTTGCCTACCCCAGGGCTGCTTCCTCCAGGAGGTCTCCTCTGATCCCCATGACAGCTCACACTTAAAATCTGCTATTTTATATCATTTACTGGTAACATGTTGTTTAAAACATTAAAATCCTGAAATTTTTTTAAAAATCAGCTACTTTCTAAATTTGGGGCTGATTCCTCACCAGTTTCATAAGCCCCACTTTAGGATTCTGGGATTCCTTAAAAAGTACAGTTGGTATTTCTGCTTTAGCCTGATCTCTTATGATTTTCCTTCACGTCCTCTATGTTCCTGCAAAACTGGACTGCTCTTAATGCCCTGTTCTCATCCTGCCCTCTTCTGTTTCCCCTTTGCTGCTACCTCCCAGAAACCTTTCCCTCACTTCCCAGTGAAAGTGAGCTCTCTGTCCCGTCTCTCTCCCTCCCCCCAGCTGCCCAGAGCACTTTGTCTGACTCTCTCTTCATTAACCACAGGTCCCATTCCAGGTCCTGTTCTATCTTTTATCCACTTATCAGTGGACTTACATCATCCCTCCCTATTGGACTGGGCAGACAGGGCCATTTTTCATCTCTGTATTACCAGTGAATGCCAAGGTACTTAATAATAAACATCTGTGCATTTGTCAAATTCAATTTGTTTTGGACAAATTGTCTCTTTTTTGTTCTGTACCTTCCCTTTCTCCCCACCACTGCTTCAGGTTCTCTGTGAATTTTATATCTAACACTATCAGTCTGGCCTAGCTGAATTGTAAGTGCGGGCCAGTCCTCTGTCCCAAGGGTCTTAGGCAGGATGGTAGAGATGATCCCTAACAGGACCATTGAAAATCAAGGTCATAAGACTCCTGCATTTTCGTTGCCTTCCCACAATTTCACTAAACCCTATAACCATCCCAATACTCCCCACCTGTAATGTCTATCTGTAGTTTCCTTCCCCCAACCCCAAGATGCCCTGTGTTTGTCCTCAGCCCTCTGAGCTCCCTTCAGTCTCCTGCCTGCATTCTCCTGGGCCTCTTAGTCCTTAGGGCAACATCCGTCTAGACTAGCAAAGGGATCTTCTACCATACTAACCACACATGGCCAACAAAATCCATTCCAGTTCTCCATATATTGATTAGGAGTTTTTCTAGTTTAAAAAAAGTCAGCTGGGAAGAGTTGAGGAGTGAGGGCCAGAAGAGAACAGAAAAGGGGGAAGGAAGAACCTGGGAACACCCATTATCTGGGCTAAGACTGGGCTGCACAGGAAGAGGAGAGTGTGTATGTGTGTTCCCAGAGGAACAGGGTCTATTTGTGCTAGTTCATACAAGGGCCTTGGTATCTGCAGAATCTGCATGTGTCCCAGGGGTATGGTTATTATTTACTCAGGGGCCTTGCTGACTAAGGGATTGCTGCCTGACCCTGGCCTGGAAGTGAACAGAAAATACTGAAGAATGAAGAGGACAGCCAATTCCTGAAGCAGGGCAGAGAGCAAGGAAAAGACCAGCCTGGCACTGAACTTCTCCGAGTATCGCTGGCACTCTTGGGTCCAGGGGAAAGGACGGTCAGGAAAATGTATTACCCTGCTTTTTGCCACCAGCCCCCAAGGACCATGGGGCCTTTCATGTGTCCTGAGCTGTTCCCTCTTCTCTGTGTGTCTTCCCTCATTAGAATGAGAGCTCCTGGAAAGCAGGAACTGTCGGCTTTTCCCTTAGGTCCCCAGCACTTAGCAAGTGCTCAGCACTTAATTTGTAAGCATTTAATAAAAGCTTTACTCATTCCGAGATGAGGACTAGAGAAAGGTCAGAATTTGGAATCTGGGCATCCTACTGCTGCTTACAACCCGTGTACGCTTGACCAGATGCCTCCCCTTGTCTGAGCTTCGGCCTCCTCATGTGTAAAGTGGTCCCTTCCAGGTCTGAATCTGGGACCTTATGGCTGGTTTTCTGCCTCGGTGACATACAAGCCTTCACAGCAGTCAGAGCCCTGACTGCCCTGGAGACCTCTTGGACAGTCGGAGCCCTGGGTGACGGCAAGGCCCACACTGCCCCTTCCTTTACTGCACGCTCCTCAGCCACTGTTGCCCAGACTGGCTGAAGATGAGTGAATTTCCTGTGTGACTGTTGGAGGGGCTGCTGCAGGCAGAGCTTGGCGGGTCTAGAGGCTAGCTTTGGAATACTTGCAGAGCTGCATCACCCAAGTGGAAGGGGCTGCACTGGTGAGCAGGTACTTTCCTACGCCTAGGCTGCTTCTGGCAGAGAACCACCCCTGCTTTTTCTTTCTTTTCTTATGTAACTTCTACTTCATCTCACTTTTAAAAAGTATCAGGCATTTGTTTTCTCTCCCTCCCATGTCGTTCCCCAACTGGAAGCATTAACAGCAAACCTTGCAACAGATATGCTTCATGAAACAAAACAGTTGCAATCATGCCTGACGAGAGCCGTAAATCTTATTCTGCAGCTTGTTCGCTCTGACAGGATGTGGGCGGCAGATTCCTTCACAGGTCTTCTGGAATCCTCCTCGGTCACTGCATCCTTAAGTCTTTCCAAGGTGTTTGTCTTTACGGTGTCGTTTTTGTATGCATCCTTCTCCTGGTTCTTCTCGCCTCACTGCATCAGTTCATGTGAGTCTTCCCAGGCTTCTCTGAAACCCTCGCCTTTGTCTTTTCTTACAGCACAGTAGTATTCCATCGCATTCATATACCACAGCCTGTTTGGCCATTCCCCAGGTGATGGACACTCCCATATATTTCCGTTCTTTGAGATCACGTTAAAAAACAACAACAACAAAACTACATCAGTATTTTGGTGCATAGGGATCCTTTTCCTTTTTCTTTGGTCTCTTTGGGGGGAATAAGCTTAGAAATGGTGTTGATACATCGAAGGACATATTGTTAGGTGTGGGCCTGATGCCAGCACCCCATTGGTTCAGATTTGACATTGAGATTAAATGAGGCGCTTGTGGGTCATTGAAGAGTTAACAAAAAGAGGCTTACCTAGCCCATGGGACTAGGATATAGTAGCACTTCTATAGACCCCCCCCTTTTTTTTCCCCCTGTAGATGTTCATTTAGTCAGGAGGGCAGGGTTCGATGATTCTCACAGTCTTTAGACCCTTATTAGCTGTGTGACCCTGGGCAAGTCACTTAACCGCTGTCTGCCTCAGTTTCCCCAGCTGTAAAAAGGGAGTATTAACTACTTACCTTAACAGTATTTTGAGGATCAAAGGAGATAATAATTGGAGGGAAAAAACCAGTTAAGACAGTGCCTGGCTCATGTTTTTGTTGTTCATTGGTGCATAGTAAATGCTCCCTTCCCTCTTCAGACATGTGCAAAGCCAGAGAGGCCCTCAGCCACCTCCGCTTCTGGGGTGGGGGAAGAGGAGACAAGCCCTGATTCTAGCACAGATAGGACAGCTTAGTGGCGTGGGGGACGGCATTCTAAACTGCTTCCCGGAGTGGCTGGACCAGTTCGCAGCTCCACCCAGAACATGCTTGTTGCCCGTCATGTCTGCCTCTCCATGGCCTTGTGGACCATGCCGTCCATGAGACTGGCTTGGCAAAGATCCTGGAGTGGTTTGCCACTTTGGCAAACGGGTTGAGTGACTTGCCCAGGGTCACACAGCTACTGAAAGTGTCAGAGGCCAGATTGAACTTAGGTTTTCCTGACTCCAGGCCCAGCACTTCATCCACTGAGCTAGATAGCTGCCCCAGGAGTATACTAGTGCATCTGTTTTCCCTGGCCCCCCAAATACGTCATTTTCCTTTTTTGTCATTTTTGCCAGTATGATGGGTAGAACCTTAAAGTTGCTCCAATTTTTTTTTTATTTCTGTAATTATTCACAGTTTGGAGCATTTCTTTTCACATGGCTGTTGATGACCTGGATTTCTTCCTTCAAAAACTACCTGTTCTAGACCTAAAAGGGGCATTAGAACATAAGATGTTAGAGATCATCTTTTCTAATACTTTCAGTTTGCAGATGAGGATACCGAGGCCTAGAACTTAGGTGAATTACTCAAACTTGTAAAAGTAGTAAATGATGAGCCAGGATTCGTGTGCAGGTCCTTTAACTCCAAAGCCAGTGCTTTAGAAAAAATACAAGAGGGGCAGCTGGGTGGCACAGTGGATAGAGCACCAGCCCTGAAGTCAGACCAAACACTTGACACACTTACTAGCTATGTGACCCTGGGCAAGTCACTTAACCCTAATTGCCAAAAAAAAACTAAAAGAAAGAAAACTACCTAATTGTAGCCTTTAACCATTTAGATAAATTTGAATCAATTCCTTGTATGTCTTAGAAATGAGACCTTTATCAGAGAAACTTGCTGCAAAATTTTTCCCAATTAATTTCCCAAAATTCTCTCAATTTCCCAATAGTTCCCCTCTAATTTTAGTCACAGTGGTTTCATTTGTGCAGAACTTTTTCATTTTAAGTAACCAACGTTGTGCATTTTGCCTTCTTTGATCTTCTCTATCCCATGTTTGGTTATAAAGTCTTCCTTTATCAATAGATCTGAGAGGAAATGTCTTTCTTGCTCCTCTAATTTATCATATGACCTTTTATATCTAAGTCATGTATCCATTTCAAGCTAATCTTAGTATATGGGGTGAGGTGGTACTCTAAACCTAATTTCTGCCAGACTGCTTTCTGATTTTCCTAGCAATTTTTGTCGGATACATATTATTATTCCCATTTTACAGTTAAGGAAACAGAGGTAAACGAGCCCCGATTATTCGTCTTGAACTCGGGTCTTCTTGACTCCAGGCAGAACTCTGTGCGCTGTTGCTGCACCCAGCTGGCTCTTAAACATTCGTAAATATTGATGCTTCCTCAGATTTCCTTACTTCCCAGGCCCTCAGTCTGTTCAGTTCCTATGACCACAGACGGTCACATCCTTGATTTTGGCACACCCTGGTTTTGGGGTTTATAAACGCCCAAATCCCATAATCTGATCACAATCTTTTATCATCCCATCTTTCTCTCGGCATGAGGCCTCCGTCCTCTTCAGCCTCTTTTCACGCCCAGGCAATACATGCGTCATCTCTCAGTGCGCTCCTTTCCTTGTCTTGATCCCTTGGTGAGCTAGCTGAAGTAACACTGGACTCTGCTTTAACCTCTTTCCCCCTTTGTCCTGTCACCAATCACTCCACTCCCAAAGCCCACTGGTGTATTACTCCTGTTCTCTGCCCCAAACTCCTCATCACGTACCATTGAACAGAACTGGAGGAATCATTGAATGGAGCCGATTCCAGTCCCCTGCAGATGGATGTTGTCTCATCTATGCTGGGCCCTCACGGCAGCAGTGCCGGCATTCTACTCCTTCCTCATCCAGTTGCTCTTCCACTCTTTGTGGCAGCGGCTCCCACGGCCACCCCTGTGTTGGCTGAGCACCTTGTCTTAGACTCACTCCCAAGATGGAAGCCATTTGTGTGGAGCTCCCGCATCTGCCTCTCGTCTCACACGTAGGGGTCCTCCTTTACCTCCTGTCTCAGATGAGGTGGCGGCCAGGCCCAGTGCCTCTCCACTTACCTCGTCATAGTGCCTGCTCTTGTTTTTGCTGTTCTCTTGTATCCTACACTGCTGCCCACAGACACACCCATTTCTCTCCTGTCCTTGAAAACCCTGCATCTTCTGGACTCTGAGTCTCAGCCTCTGTGTGCTGCTTCTCCAGTGTGAAGAGGCAGGGTATGATAGCCATGACTCACTTTTAATTTTATGAGTCTTATTTTAGGAGGAGCATCACAGCCAAGGCACAAAAAGGACATATGGATTCAACTACAAAATGCTCCTTAAAGAAATAAAAAACAACTTAAAGGGCTGGAGAATATTCAGTGCTCATGGCTGGGCCATGCCAATATGATAAAAATGACAGTATACCAAAGTTAATTTATGTTTCCAATGCTATACCAATCAGATTACCATGGGATACTTTATAGAACCTGAAAACATAAATTACCTAGGAAAAAACTCCTTTTTTGATTTAAAAAAACTGCTGGGAAAAATGGAAAGCAGTCTGGCAAAAATGAGGTTTAGACCAACGCCTTACACCACGCACTACAATATATGCTAAGTGGATATGCGATCTTAATATTAAAGATCATGTCATGAAAATTAGAAGAGAAACAAATCATATGCCTCTCACAGATAGGAGTATAAAACCTGTTTTTAACCAAACAAGTGGGGATAGGGATAGGGTTCGTTGCAAAAGATAAAATGGATGACTTTGATTAAGCTTCCGCATAAAATGTATCTAGGATAAGAAAGGAAGCAGGCAAATGGAGAAAAAAACCATTTTATCACATTTTTCTACTAAGGGCTTGTTATCCAAAATATATAAACAATAAATGGACACAAAACTAATAGTCATTCTCCAATAGATAAGTGGTCAAAGGATTTGAAGAAACAGTTCTCACAGAAAGAACTGCAAAGTACTTAGAACCACATTAAAGAATACCCCAAATCACTAATACTAAAAGAAACGCAAATCAAAACTGCCCTACATTTTTACTTCACACCCTGCAAATTGTCAAAAAAAAAATAAAAGTGGCAACATTCAACATGGGGGAGGTTATGGCAAGATAGGCACACCAGTAGATGTTGTTGGCGGAGCTGTGAAGTGGTGCACTCGCTTTGGAGTCGTGCAAGTAAAGTCACTAAAATGCCCATACCTTTTGAACCAGAGACATCATTACGAGATGTACATACCCCCAAGGAAGCCATCGATAAGAAAAGATTCCCAGATACATTAAAGTATGTATAGTAGCACTTTTTGTGAGGGGAAAGAATCGGAAACAAAGGAGATGCCCATTCATTAGGGAATGACTCCATAAATTATGGTGTGTGACTATAATGGAATATTACTGTTCTGTGAAAAATGTAAATGAGGAATACAGAGAAGCCTGGAAAGAGCTATATGAACCGATAAAGTGAAATCAGTGGAACCAAAAAAAAAAAATCTCCATAATGACTACAGCAAATGGAAGTGTGGAAAATGATACACTAAAAGCGAAAGTAAATATAACAAAAATTGGGTTTTTTCTCAATTATATATAAACAAAAATCTTTAACATTCTTTTTTTTTTAACTTTTAGTTCCATATTCTCTCCTTCCTTCCCTCCCCTCCTCCCTCCTTGAGGAGGCAAGCACTTTGATTATACATATATATATATATATATATGTATATATATATATATATATATATATGTATATATATATATATATATATATACACACACACACACACACATATGTAGATACATATATATACATATGTACATAATATATATACATGTATGCATACATATATACATATATATACACACAAATATATGTATGCGCAGTCATGGCAAAGCATTCCCTTATTAGTCATGTTGCAAAAGAAAATGTAGACCAAAAGAACAAAAATGATAAAATAAAAAAGTCTACTTCAATCTGCATTCAGACTCCATCAGTCCTTTCTCTGGAGGTGGATAGCATTTTTCATCACAAGTCCTTCAGAATTGTCTTGGATCTTTGTTTTGCTGAGAATAGCTAAGTCATTCACGGTTTATCTTCATACAGTATTGCTGTTACTGTGTAATGTAACAACATTATAATAGTCCATCAGGACTAGACCCAGAATGAAGAGAGCCGAGAAGACACCCCCAACTTCCCCTCAGTGGAGGGGGAAGGCTCACAGGGTTTGCACACGACACATGGTTTTGGACTTTTTCAGTGTATTCTTCAGTGGCCCCAATTTTTTTTCCCCGTGTGTGTGTGTGTGTGTGTGTGTGTGTGTGTGTGTGTGTGTGTTTAAAAAATACCATTTGTTATATGAGATGGTACTTTAGGAGGGTAAAGGGAGGGATACTGAGAATAACTGATCATGTAAGAAACAGAAGACATAAATAAAAATTTATTTAAAAATAGAAACAAAATTAGAGATCCTGTCAATATCATGGAACCAGATTAAAATGCAATTGGGAAATGTTCAACAAAATAAATAAAAATATAGGAATATAAATAAATGTTAATTAGGTTTTCTGAGTCAGTGCAGGGATCTGTTTCTATTTGAGTTCGATATCACTGATGTAGAGTATAATTTGATACTTCTTTGATATATATTTAACATACTAAACATTTCCAGATGTGTCTAGATTCTTACATTGAGATATAATTCTAAAATGGAAATTTTAAAATACATTTGATGGTATTTACCACCTTGGATAAATTGAGTACCCTTGTACCAAACATCATTATAAAAGAGGCCTTATTTATAATCATGACAACAATAGATCTATAGTAATAGACTTATATGACAGTCTGAGGTTTGAAAAATGCTTTGCATGCATCATCATTTTGCCATAAAAAAATTAAGAGTAAATTTTCTTTACACCAAAAAAGGGGGGGGGGGGGGTTGTCACATTTTAGTGTTTTATTAGTGCTTGTTTTTTACCTCACTCCTTTCCTCAACCCCAGACTCATGACCAGACAAACCTTCACAGTGGAGGCACCCAAGTCTTTTCTTCTGATCAGCTCCTTCATCCTGTCTTGGAGGCTTCCGACATCCTTGCCCTGGAAAGCAAGAGGGCCTAGCTAAAGCAAGGCATCCCATTGTCTTTGTTGTCCCCCCCAGTTGCTTTCCTGGGGCCCTCTTCGCAACATGGCACACAGACCTTTGGTCTCTTTGGTCCTTATTTCACATTGCTCTGCCCAGTCCTCGTGTGGGCACTTCAGTGACTGCCAACCGTGGCTCTTCCCAGCCACCAAGGGCCATGCGGCCGTGTGGAAGCCTCCCCCAGTCACGTTGCAGAGACAGGGCAGAGTCCAGAGGCAGGAGGGGCTTTGGGTCACTCATCCTCTCTGTATTTTGGAAGCAAGATCGCCATTTTCACTTTGTGACAGCCTCCAAAATAATTCCAGGTGGTTTAATGAAAGCTGATTTGCTAAGTTAGCAAAATCCTCATTCCCTCCAGCTGGGGCCTCAGTAGCCTCTGTTCCCCTTAAGCACCTGTAGCCAGTCATTTCTGGGAAACAATCCTTTTCTTTTTGCTTTGCCTATCTCATTAAAAACTAATTGTAAAAGAAGGCCTTCCTGCAGCCCTGGCATCAGAATCCAGAATTGGGGCTTTTTTCTTTAGCTAGTGACTGCCTTGTGGCTTCGGGTGTTATTCATTATCCCATTTTCTGTGCCTCAGTTTCTTCCTCTAAGATATTAGGATGATTCCCCTCACCTGTATCCTAACCCAGAGAGCACACTGGATTGTAACTGGGCTCGTCACTCTGAGACTTGATTGTCCCTAGACGTAGGGAGAAAAACAGCACCAGTGTGGCAGCTTTGTTCCCCGTGAGGATTTCAGGCTAATTCTACTGTAATTTAGGGGATGGGGAAGGAAGGGAATAGAGAAGCCTGGGCTTCCTCGGGTTATTGAGAGGGCTGAGAATTGCTGCGTGTCTGCCCCCATCTCAGAGAGGGGCCCATAAACTCATCCTTTCTGACAAAGATCCTCCGGAGACACTGTGGCAGCCCACTCACGTCCTGATAGTGTGTTCTGTTTGTTTTCTTCTGCAGCTGGTATACCCTTATGACTCCAGGCTGACAGAGAAGGAGGTAGGTCTCCTGTACCCTTGGCAGTGCCCTTCAGACAGCAACATCCTGCAGTTTCATTGTGTTTTCCTATCTGTTACAGAAAACCAGCATCTGCTACTTGTCTTTTCCCGACTCTTACTCAGGTAGGCAGCTCTGCTTCCCCAACTTGTCAGAGTAAGGAGGGAGGGCACAGAGCAGAGAGCAGGCCCAAGGTGCTCTGTCACGGCACGGGACCTGCTGGCAGAAAGACCCACCTCCCTCAGCGTGTGGCAAGTCTCCGTGTGTGTCTTCTGAGGTGACAGTGCAGAGAACGCACCCCAGGGCTGGCTGGCTCGCCTGGGCCCTGGCTCAGCCGTGGTCCCGAAGACAGTCTTAGTTCACATGCATGGATTAGTTTATGTTTTACATGTGCTATCCCTGTGTCACAGGCCCCGCACCTCTGTCTGTATGTGGTGGGGCCCTTGCTACACTAGCACACACATGCTGAAACATTGTGGCCAGGATTGTGACGAAGCCCAGCACTGCTTCCTTGTTCTGCTTCTAGGGAGCAGACAGTGAGCTTTCCCCATACCCCACAGCCTTGAACCTCTTTCCCAAGGAAAGCCCTGCCACCCCAAGCACCACAGCCCACAGCAGTAACTTCTCAGGGAATAGATACCTGAGCCTGTCGTCTGAAGGGGCTTCTTTGATGTCCCAGCCTGCTAACTGCGCCTGCACGCTTATAGTGCCAGAGGCCATGAAGGAAATCTCTGTGTTATGAGCACGTTTGCAGGGAGGGCCCGAGACGACAGATCTGAGCCATGGCCAGAGGAGAAATTACAGGGAGGAAGGAAGGTGACCTTTGAATCTTCCTTTGCTGAAGGGCAGAGAAAGACACCGTTAACTTTCTCCTTGTGGCTTAAGCCTCCCAGCTTTTCCCAGAACCTTAGATTCATGGTGGTCATGTGATCTCTGACCCACAGCCTTGGGCCTCTTCTTGAATTCCTTATCAGGCTTCTTTGCAGAATGCCAGGCTACTCTGAAGGCTCAGGAGCGGGTACCACCCTTGTCCCGGCTTTATTGCACGGACGGGGTGCCAGGGTCATGGGGGTCAAGGTCTGGCACAGGCCACTCATTTCCTGAGCTTGAAACCAAGCTTGCCCCATGCTTGGGACTCCTCCCCAGGGCCCCTGGGGGCTCAAGCTCTCAGCAAGCATCAGACTTCGAGGCTTAGAGGACAGCTGGAGCTGCCCTCGAACCACTGGGCGCTCTGTGCCAGCACAGCCCTGGAGGCTCCTGGAGGGCCAGCCTCAGTGTCAGGACTGCCCATGTGCCGTGGGTAACTGGCTCAGGCCTTGCTTCTTTCAGGCTGCCTTGGGGACACCCAGTTTAGCTTCCGGATGCGTCAGTCTGGGGGACAGAGGGACCTCCACTCTCTTGATGATGACGATGGCTATGACAGAGGGGCTCCCGTCACCCTGCAGGTGAGCGAGCCGCTCCCGGCTGGGGCCTCTCCGAGGACCATAGACAGGGTGGGGTGGGAGTGTCCAGCCTCCGTTGTCTGGCTCCTGCAGGCGGGCCACGTGATGGACACTTAGTACAGTAGGAGGGGGTGGGCCACGCGATGGCTCGAGGGGGATAACGTGTGCACAGAGCAGCCTTCCAGGACGTAGGGCTCTTGGCCTGACTGGCCCGGGAGCCACAGACACAGACCTGTTTGTTTGTTTGTTTGGCAAGGCAGTTGGGGTTAAGTGACTTGCCCAGGGTCACACAGCCAGTGTCAGGTATGTGGTCTGAGACCAGATTTGAACTCAGGTCCTCCTGAGTCCAGGGCTGGGGCTCTATCCTCTGCGCCACCTAGCTGCCCCACACAGACCTGTTTGTTGCTGGCCTGTTTCGAAGCCTTCCTGGCCACATGTTAGGCTCCCCTCCACACCAGGCCAAGGCCTCAGAGCAGGAGGAGGCAGGCTGTGGTTGGATCCTAGCACTGGGCCCTGTCCCCTTCTCCTGAGGGCAGAGGCCCGCCTCATACTTGCGAAGTTTGCTCAGCTCAGGAGGTGCTGTGGTCCCTTGCTTCTGGGCTCTGGGGACACGTTGGCTTGGCCTACCTCCGTGCAAGCTTCCCCTGGCCCTGCTGAGGGGCTTACCTCAAGGAAGCTGCCCCTCCCCTCCCCTTCCCTTCCTGTTCTCCCCTCTCCACATCCTGACCACCAGCTGGGCTTGGTGGCAAATTCCAAGTCTCATTTGTTCCATTCATTCAGCAAGAGCTTGTGTCCTTGGTAGGAGTAGGGATGGGGGTGAGGGTGGTGTAAGGCCTGTGGAAGGCAGGTGGTCCCTGCCTTCCTGTGGCTTCCCACTCAGTAGAGAAGGCTTGGTCTTCCTGTGTAAGCCTGGCCACCTTGGTTACTGTGCTTGGGAGGTCTTCATTCACTGTCAGGTCAGCCCAGCCCTTCACCTCTCTCTTCCTCTCTGGGCCTCAGACCATGCATTGCTGTGGGGAAGGGGTGAGGAGACGCCTTAACCACGGTCCTTGTCTCTGGGGCCTTTCCCTGTTGGCAGAGAGGGCAGCGGACGAAGGGCTGCTGGGTAGAAAGAGAATGTTGCTCTGGCCTGGGATGCCACCTGATGGCTGCCTGTCTTTGACAGAGAGAGGCCGCCCACTTGTTTGGCTACGTGTACTTCAGACAGGTAAAGGACAGTGCTGTGAAGAGAGGCTACTTCCAGAAGGTAAGACCAGGTGCCCCACGGAGGCCAGCAGCCCCTCCCAGGCTAGGCTCCTTTGCCCAGTAGCCAGCTGTTTGCAGCCCCCTCTCACCTCCTTGTCCACCACATGGCTCAAGCGTGAGGACAGGTCCAGTCAGGAGCATCTGAAGAGCCTGCTGGACCTTGCTTTGGCGAGCAGGCCGTGGGGTCCTTTGAAATCATGCTTTGGAAGTCGAAGGTGGTTGTGGTAGTGGGCACTCCAGTGTGCAGGCACTAGGGCAGGATTAGAGGCAGAGGAGACCGACCGCCAGCCCAGGGCACAGACCACATTCCTTTTGTCCTTTTCCTTGAGTCACCCCCCCAGCTCCTTTTTCTTCCCATGATTGTCCCACACGAGGGCTGTGGCATTAGTGGCTTCTCTAACTTCAGACATGGCTCCCCACCAGGATGGAGCTCCGGGAGAGCCTGGCCCAGAATGTCGGTCTATAGAATGGCCCCATCTATGCCCGGCAGCCACTGGACCACAGGATTCCAGATCTAGAACTGGAAGACTTGGGAGCTCATTAGTCCAACCCTTTGTGTTACAGGGGAGAGAAATGTGAGGCCCAGGCGTGTCTGAAACATGCTTGAATATAGGTCTTCTTGACTTCAAGTCTGGGGCTCTGCCCACTGTCCCATGCTGCCTTTCTCTTGTCAAATGTGGGACGGTGCTGTGCCCAGTAGTTTTGGGTCCAGTTTTTAAGGAAAGTGGGAGGAGAGAAGGACAGAGGGCATCCATGAAGAAGTCCGTGTGCCCGCTAGCCTTCCTCCCTGTGGGTCCCTTTCAGTCACTGGTGCTGGTGTCCCGCCTGCCCTACGTGAATTTGTTCCGGTCACTGCTGAACCTCATTGCCCCTGAATACTTTGAGAAGCTGGTTCCGTGCCTGGAAGCGGGTGAGCCCCCAAATGGTTTGTGCAGGCCATCGGCAGTTAGAGGATTGGGAGGGCACGTGCACGGGTTGGGGGAGGGGAGGATGGTTCCTGGGTGCTAGGCCCAGAGGCACTGCCTTGGGCTCATGATCTTGAAAAAGCCCAGAATAAACATGAAATGAGGTCTGGGGCTTCTCTCTGAGTGAGTGAGCTCTCCTGCGGTGCCCAGAGCTCTGGCCGCCCATGAGCCAGTCAGTTGACTGCTCACTGAGAGCCCTGCCCTCTTGTGTCCCAGGCAGATTAGTGCAGGCTCTCCAGATGTCCACCATTGGCATGGGTAGTGCTCAAGTCTCACGACTATTCTTTGGTTGGGGGGTGAGGGCAGGGGCACCCACCCCAGGCGAGAGCCAGCCTGGCTGCTTGGGCCCACTCCTAACTCCTCCTCGACGTATGTTGGCAGTGTGCAACGAGATTGACCAGTGGCCCCCCCCAGTGCCAGGACAGACTCTGAATCTGCCCGTGATGGGAGTCGTCATGCAGGTAATGAGGAGCCGGGCATGAGCCAAGATTGATGTAGCATGCCTAGACCTCAGGAAGGGAGGAGAAGGCCCTCCCGCTGCCCTTGTGGAACAAAGGGCAGGGTCACGGGCCCTTGGATGCTTGGAGGACTGGTTGGATGGGGCCCATGGAGTGCTTGGGGACTCAGCCATGGGTCGGACCCAAACAGAAGTGGATCCTGCAAGCTTAGTTTTGGCTTAGAAAACCACACGCCCACAGCGCCCACATTCTGTTGGATTATTTATTTTGTGAACTCTTTCCCAATGCATTTTAATCTGGTTTGGGCAAAGTCTCTGGCATAGTGTGAGGTCCGTAGGGGAGGGCCCCAAGGATTCAGCATTGTTGACCATTTGGATAAGATATTTATGACTGTTTACCAGATTTGTGAATGACAATAAGCAGTATTTATATGAGACCTAAGATTCTCAAGCACTTTCACATTTGATCCTTATAAGAACCCCAGGCAGGGACAGCCCCATGTCACCACTTAGGAAGTTGGTGCCCAGAGAGTCTGGGCTTTACTGCCGGTCACACAGCTACGAGGTGCCAGAGGCAGAAGCTAAGCCCAGGCTTCTCTTTATCCCAACTCCACTACCAATAATAGCCAGCAGTGATATAATACCATAAGGTTTGCAGAGCACTTACAGACATCGTTGAGTTTTATCTTCACAACAACCCTGGGAGGTCAGTGCTGTTGTTATCCTCAATTTACAAATGAGGAAACTGAGGCAGGCAGAAGATGAACGATGTCAGTGTTTGCGGCCACAATGCTGATCCGAAGCTGGGAGGCCGGGCTGAGACCCTGCACAGCAGATGAGATCGCAAAAGCGTCTTACTAAGCAGGAGTGGGAAATTTAATGGGGATCTCCAGCAACTCCTACATTTAGGCCCAAAAGGTAAAATCCACAAGTCCAGGGCCGGGGAGCTTTGTTCATACAAGTGAACAATCCTGGGAAGTTTGGGGATCGCAAGATCCTCATGAGTCAATGCAATGGCCAAGAGGCTGGTGTGACCATGGAGAAAAGGCCGGCCTTGGGCTCAGAAGACCTGCCAAGAATGTCGGTGTGATTCTAACAAGCCGCCCTCAGGGTGCCCCGGGAAATGCAAACGCGACGCTCCCCAGTCTTGAGCGCGGTGCCTGGTGGAAATGCTGCTCAAGTGACGCACAGTCTGCACTGGCGGAGGGAGTTTGCTCATTGGGAATTCCCTGTGCCAATGCAAGTAAAGATCCCGTCCAAACTAGGGAGAGGAGAGTCCCGCTGGGCTCTGGCTTGGTTGGTGATGCTAAGGAAACCTGTTCTGCCTGGCCTGAGGACACCAGGAATGACCACAGAAAGTTACAGGAAGGCACAGCGAGGTGCAACCTACAAAGAGACTTTCTGACAGTTGGAGTTGTCCAAAAAAGGAGTCAGCTGCCTTGTAAGGCTTGAGTCCCCCCATTCTAGGCACCCAAGCCAAGACGGGCTTCAGGGCAGGGGGTTTGACTAGATGACCTGTAAGGGACCCTCCCTCTCTAGACTTCTGTTCAGGTCTAAACTAGCTGCCTGGGACCCCCAGGATGGCAGAGGAGACACCCGTCCCGCCGCAGAGCCAGGCTAAGCTAAGCAAGGACCAGGCCTAGGACAACAAGGACTCTGCCGCCTCACTGCCGTGGCCACGGCAACAGAAATGGCAGAGACGTGGAGCTGGGCCTGATGAGGGCTGGCCCTCTGTTGGCCCACGTAACTGCTCTAACCCTAACCCTAACCCTAACCCTTCCAGGTGCGGATCCCATCCCGTGTAGACAAGTTAGAGGCAAGCCCTGTAAAGCAGTTTAACCAGGAGGTAAGAGGCCCCAAGTGGGCTCTTTTCCTCTTCCTTTGGTCCCGTCTCCAGGGCCTGCACTTCTCATGTGCTTGTGTGTGTGCACATACACCCCTATGTATGCATACACAATAACGTGCACAGAGTAGCCTCATCCCCCCACTTCTTCCCAAAGTGTATGTAGAACCAAGATCCGAGGGGTGGCAAGTATGGCTCTTCGTGACACATCTGCTCAGCTGGCCCAGGCTGCCACCTGGAGCTGCTGTCCCCGCTCTCCGCCCCTTGGCCGGGCACTTGCCGCTCTTCCTGGCTGGGTTCTAGAGAGCAGGATGAGGAAGGGGAGGGCTGGTCTCCCAGCTGAGGCTGGCTGGGCCTCACTGGAGCGAGGATCCATCCTGGGGCTAATGCTGACTCTCACAGTTTTTCTTCTCCCATCCAGAACCTGCTCCCTGCTCCGTTAGTTCTCTCCAGTGTTAATGAGCTGGATCTTTTCAGGTAAGAGTGTAGAACATGGATCAGCTGTGTAAGTGTTCCCTGAGCCAGTGTTCTTTCCTGCAGTGCCTGCTTTGTGAGACAAGGTGGAGGGGGTAGTGGGGGCTAGGATCGGGGCCCCTTTGCACAGGTAGCTGACAGCCTCGTGAGGGAGGGACGTAGCATGCCGCCAGAGCGCTGCAGAGTGCTCACAGTTGCGGTTTGGGGAAATACAAAAGACTAGGGGGAGGGTAGCTTTGGATGCGGGCCTGGAAGGGTAGATGTGTCCCTCATAGGCAGGAGGGTGGAGAGATTGTTTTCCAGATGATGAAAAAGCTGTGAGCAAGACATGGCAATGGGAAAGCCCAATGCGTGCCAGGGCAGCAAGGCCAGTAGTCACATTTGGTTTGGCACCACAGTAGCTGGGAGAAGGATGTCTAGGAGGGCTGCACTAAGCAGGGACATTGGCATTCTCGTAGACAGAATGCAGCCATGGGAAACGTCTGAGCAGAGCAGTCACCGTGCAAGCAGCCACTAGGCAGATTAATCTTAGAGTCTTGGAGGAATACATCGGGTGGGTTGGGGAAGGGGGGCTGGTTCGGGCTCATGTTACAGTTGTCCAGGTCAGAAGGAAGGAGTGAGTAGCTGAAGTGTGGCAGTGACCCTGAGAACGGAGGAAAGGGCCGCGCTGCGTCAGGCATGAAGGGGGTATGAGGGCAGGAGTGTGTAGCTCAGTGAGCGACTCGGGAGGGGTTTGTGAGGAGGGGCCTGGTTTTAGAAGGAAGAAGACAAGTCCCGGGCAGTCTGGAAGGAGGGATAGGTGGTGGGGCAATGGTGAGAAGGCTAAACTGCCCGTCCACCTCTTGTTTGTCTTCCAAAGAGAAGGGTCTTTGCAAGGAGAAGGGTGAGCAGAATTTGTTAGCAGAGACCAGACATCTCCCCAGCCTACGTGAGAAGATGGTTGGGCAGCCTCTGTCCACCACACTCCCAGAGTTCAGATCCACATGAAATACACCTGAGAGTCATTGGGAGAACTGTCAGATGGGGTCCTCACCAGGCGGTTCCAGTGACCTCCGAGAGACCTGGATGGGACTGGCAAAGTGCAGAGCCACCAACTCTGTCTAGATTTATCTAGAACTTGACTTCCCTTTCCGATGAAACTCTAGAATCTATTTTGTTGTTAAGGAGAGGATTAGGGAGCCTTTCTGTGAAAGGGGAGCAGAGACTGAACCGGCTTCATCAAGAACAGGCCTCCTTTCTTCCTTTGATGTTAGATGAATGTAGTGCTGTAGCCACCCAAGACTGAGATTTGTTCATGCTTGACTTGGGATTGAGATGGGAAGACTGGAGTTCGTCGAGAGTACCATCCAGTGCCCTTGGAACTAGCCAAAGATCCAGGCCCAGAAAACAGCGATAACTGGACTCATGTCAGCCGGGAGGGAGTCCTCTTGGTGGGACACAGGCATCGTCCTTGGCCATGAGCCGTCCAGCCCTCTTCTCTGAATGTAGGGGAAGGCCCCAACGGGAGAAGCCTCAAGCTGGGAGAAATGTCAGGCACTCTGGATAGCAGAGCCTCTATCCAACCACAGGCCAGATCCAGTGAGGTGACATTCAGTAGGGAGAAGCATAAAGCTCTCTGCTTGGGTTCAGAACACCCCCTGCACAGGAGGAAAGATCCAGGGGTCAGAGTGGCCTTAAAGCTTAGTATAAGCCACTGGTCTTGAGATGGCAGCCCCAGAGGAGCCAGCACTCCCAGACGAGGTGCTGCCTTTGAGGGAGGGAGGTGAAACTCTGCAAGGCAGTCCGGCCAGTTCCTTTTAGCAAAGACTTCGACTCGTGGAGTGTGTCCAGAAGAAGGTGACCAGGATAGTGAGAGGATTGGAGAAGATGCCATTAGACTGCAGCCCATAGACAGAAGCTGGGCTTCTCTAGGCTCACAGGAAGCCAACTTGAGATTCTCCCCAAATCTCTTTCTCACTTATTCCCCCCCCACACACACCCCCCTTATTCCCTTCATCCCAGATTTCCCTTAGGACTGTCAGTCAGAATTTGGCTGAGGTTTGGGCTGTCACCACACACTGAAAAGAGGCCTCGGTCCCACCCAAGTGTCCACGCCCATCGTCTGCCTGACAAGTGCATTAACTTGTACCTGGGCACATAAACACTCAGAGCAGTCTCCTCGCCTGCCAGAGACCACCCCCCTCCGATTTCCAGGCCCCTTTTGTTAGTGTTGAGCCTGTGTGCACAGCACTGGGGAAGGCTGAGGCTGGGGCTGGCTCCTTAGCCCCTGCTCAGCCCAGAGACTTCTCCTTTGTTGTTTCGTTTCACTGCGCCTGCTTCCAGCATGTGCCTCCAGAGCTCCCCTCCGGCCAGGGTATTCCTTGCCACTCCACCATGGCCTTTGTCGGCCCTGGTTCCCAGCAGGGGCCCCAAAGATGCGAGGGCTTCCCCTTGAAGGTCTCTGTGTGGCCCCTCTCTCTTCTGGGTCTCCATCTATCAGGTTCTCTGCTTCCTGTTTCCCCTTTGAAGGTCCACTTCCAAGGGCTGTGTACCAACTCAGGGACACATCCTGTGTGTGTGATGTTAAGGGGGGGAGGCGCGGCATCCAGGGCCAGAGAGGCTGCCCTCCATCAGAGCCAACTTGGTGGCATCTGAGAAGTTCACTAAGACTCTTCCAGTGGTTCGTTGTCTACACAAGGGTAATTTGAAGGGACTGATTGATGGCAGAGAAGCAGATGGCAGCTGGAGGTCAGGAGAAACATCCTAACAACTAGTGATTTGGAAGTGGTGGGCACTGCCTCAGTTCTGTTCTCAAGGGTTTGTGCCTTCCTGGAGGTCTTCAGGCAGATGCCAGGGGCCCCCTAGTCTGGTGGGCTCTAATGAAAGGTCGGGCTGCATAGCCCCAGGGTCCCTTCGGACTCAGATTCTCTATGAATTGTAATTGTTGAGCCTGGAGAAGAGAGGACCCCAGGGGCTGTGGTAATGGCCTTCAGGTATTGGAGAAGAGGGACCTACTTTGAGGTTTGACCCGGGAGGCAGAATTGGGGGAGGATAAGGAAAACTTCCCCAAAATGAGAGCCTAGATGGCAGGTGCAGTCAGTGGCAAGGTCTTTGTCCTGGTTCAAGCCGAACTGAGGTGACCACTTGTTGGGGATGAAGTAGAAGGGATTCCTGGTCAAGCAGGACCTTTGATAGGGCCTCTCCACCAATTAGATCCCAGGGATTGGGGGTTGGCCCTTGGGAGAGTTGTGATTATGGGGATCAGGAGAAGGCTCCCCACCTCCCAGAGCCAGGATTCCACTGGTAAAGCACTTTAGAAATGTAGAAAGGTGCTGTTGCCATCACCGCCATGGCGGCGGGAGATGGGGCCATTGGGAGCTCACGGGTGCTTAGGGAAGATGTTCATTTAGTTGATAGGTGTAGGAAGAGGAGACCGGAGCAGGCTCTGACAGCTCCCGAGAGAAGAGCTAGGAAAACATGCCTCCCTCCTTTCTTTGGAGAAGTGGGGGAGCAGGCACAGCAGGCCGAGGCTATTTTGTGTGCTGTCAAAAGCAATGTCTGTGTCGACTGTTTTGGTTGAACTTTTAAAAAAGACCTTTGGTACAAAATTTGAGCATACAAAGACAGGGGCTTATATTTGGAAATACCCAGGTGTCCATAAAATTCAAACAACAAATTACAGCTAGTGCACCGGCAGGAGGGCAGAGTTTCTTGAAAGTGAAGTTGGTGAATGGGTTCAGAGGCTGCAGACAGAGATCTCCTTGGACTTGGCAATGAGGGGATCAGGAGTGACCTTGCAGAGAGCAGTGTAAGGAGCGGGGTGAGAGCGCTGCATGGTATGGTCCAGTGGAAAGGCCACAGGGAAGTCAGGAACAAAGACCGTTACAGTCAGGCTGGACCGTAAAGAATGCATAAGATGTGCAGAGACACAGAGGAAGGGACAGCGACCTTCATGGGTAGTGCCTACTGGCCGTGCTGACCACCTTCCCCTCTCCTGTGTGCACGGAGAAGCTTCCTGGGAAATCCTAAATCCAGGTGTCATGCCCTGGGTGCTAGCTGAGCCGGAGGAAGACCAGTGTGTGTTTGGGGAGGGAGGAGAAGGGGTTGTCCACGGGCCTGTCTCCTGGCCTAGGGGGCTGAGAGTTGAGCCTCTGCCGCTGGTAGCTGACAAGAACCAGCATTTCAGCCACTGATGTTAACTGTCTCCTCGCCTGCCTCCCATCCCAGTCCTCAATGCCTGTAGTCTCTGGTTCTCCTCAGAGAGGAGGCGGATGGTTCCCTCCATTTCACAATTGGACGCGCCAGGTTCCCTCCCGCAGTCCAGCCAGTAGGGCTCAAGGAGGTTTGGATGCTGGCCCTGAGCCCCACTGGAAGTGGCTGCTCTGCTTTGGTGTGGTCTTTCCCCTCCCCTCATTCGGGCCTGGGAGTCTGGGTTCTTTTTATGAGGGAAAGAAGATTTTATTGTGTCCTTCTCCTTGCTTCATGGGAGAATAGGCTCCCCTCTGTGCACCACCTCTTCGGCCCCAGGCCCTGTGAGTGCCCCCCTCTGTGGGAGAGAAGTGCCCGGCAGAGAGAGTACTAATAGGTCATTTCTGCCCCAATGGAGTCCTCCATGTCTTAGCCCTGACACCTTTTGCAGCTCACGGAACAGATCTGCCGGAGCACAGCCCTGGCACGGCCACCCTTGAGACATGGTGGTCCTGGGGGTTGGCAGGTGCTCCCATTGTCCCTGCCCCAGGGAGCCGGCCCAGCAAAAAGCTTTAGGCCTCGGGGTGGCCTCCTGAGGGGGAGAGGCCAGGACTCCAGCACAAGCTCCACATCAGAGACAGACTCTTCACCTTTGGGTGTCCTGGACCCCTAGTCTGAAGAAGCCCGCCCATTCCACACAAGAACCATGTTGTAAAAGTTCAAAATAAAATACATCGGATTACGGTGGAAACGATGTCATTGAAATGGTTATCGTGATGTTAAGGAGTCTTGAAGTCGAGAAGTGTCCTATAGGAGAGCAAGGCCCTGGGGTCACGTCCTATGTGTGTCTTTTCAGCCGTGGCCCTCCACGTGGATCGCAGCGCCCACCACTCATGCCCTCCCCTGACCCAGGCCGCAGCTTTGCCCATCAGAGGCAGAGGGATGATGATGGGGTTTCAGATTCCCCAGACCTTGTGAGTCCCTTGTCCTGAGCTGGAGAAAGCTGGAGCTCAGGGGAAGCATTTTGGAGGCAGGCCGGCATGGTGGCAGTGCAGCCGGGAGCTGGGGGTCAGGCCTTCCCTTCCCGGCTGCTGACCCCTCTCTGCCTTCTGTGTTGCTAACAGGTGTTTCCAGCCTGTGCTGATTCACATCCAGCTGCTGTGGGAGCTGATGCTCCTGGGGGAGCCCCTTGTTGTCATGGCCCCATCTCCAACCATCTCGTCAGAGATGGTGCTGGCCCTGACCAGGTAGGTGGCACGTCAAGATACGGGTTTGTGGGCCTGGCCAGCCGCCCCAGAGCGCCAGGACTCACTGCAGGACCACAGTCAGGCCTGCCCTCTTTTGCTTGTCCAGGGGGCTGCCTCTTCACTCTGTGAGGTTCAGTGTCCTTATCTCTAAAATGGTGTTAATGCTAGCACCTCCCCTCTGCGCCATGGGTCGGGGAGGGCTTGTGAGGATCCATTGAGGCGATATGGGGAAAGCCCTTTGGAAATGGCCGTGTGAGCGCTGCACGGTGGCTATCGCTGTCCTCCCTGCTGGGATGGCTTCTGTACCGTATCGTGCTGGTGGCTGAGTGTGAGCTGGCGGACTCTGTCTCTCAGCTGACTTGTGTTGAGCGGAGGGTGTTGTGCCCTCAGATACACTGAGTTTGAGCTTCATTCCTCCAGGGTCCTTCCCACTCAGGGGCCTGGCCTGTCCCTGGCCCAGCTCCCCTGGCAGCCCATCGTGTGCACCATAGTCCGGTGTGTTGGCAAACACCCATCTGGGCTTCTGCTGGCCTGGCCACAAAAACCCTGACAGGACCTCCTGGTCCCTGAAGAGCTCAGGCACTGGCTTCTCTGAGTCTCCGAGCTCCAAGGGCTGGAGCCAGGGCTCCCAGGGCCTGGCCTGGGGGCTGACACGGCCTTCTCACTGCAGCTGCCTGACTCCCCTCAAGTTCTGCTGTGACTACCGACCCTACTTCACCATCCATGACAGCGAGTTCAAGGAGTACACTACGCGAACCCAAGCCCCGTGAGTGTCCCCCTCTGTCCACCACCCCCTCGGCCCCAGGCCCTGTGAGTGCCCCGCTCTGTCCTCTAGCCCCTCGGCCCCAGGGCCCATGAGGGACCCCCCCCTCCCTCCCACCTGCCAGTCCCTTGGCCCCAGGCCCCATGAGTGCCCCTCTCTGTCCTCCAGCCCCTCAGCCATAGAGCCTGTGAGTGCCCCCTCCCCTCCAGGCCCTGTGAATGCCCCACTTCTACCTGCCAGCCCCCTGGCCCTGGGTGACAGTCAGTAGTGGGTTGAGGTAGTCATAGGCTCACGCTGTCCCTTCTTTCTCTTCAGCCTCTTGTCTTTCTCTGCCTCTTATTTGTTTGCTCCTTTCCTTTCTCTGTCCCTCTCTCTTTCTCTAGACCGAATGTTGTCCTGGGAGTCACAAATCCTTTTTTTATCAAAACACTTCAGCATTGGCCACACATCCTCCGGATTGGAGAACTCAAAATGTCAGGTAAGGCTCAGAACAGAGAGTGTTGCAGCCCTAACCCCTGCTGAGGCCCCGTGAGGGTCCTAGGCCTCCAGCTCTGTGAGCAGGGAGGATGAGACAGTATGAGTTCTGGCAGATTTGCCCAGGAGTTGTCCTCTTCCACAACTGGAAGGAGAGAAGGGGTCCGGGACTGTCATAAACTCAGCACTGAGTGAGGCAGAATCTCATTCCTCAGAGACTGTGTGCTCTGGGGCGGTGAGGAAGGGGGAAGAACTGGGGCATTCCCCAAGCCCCTCCCCTGGCCTTCCTCTCTGTGGTTCTGGAGGCACCCAAGAGACCCAGTGCAGACTAGTGAGCCCAGGCCTCTTCAGACACACAGAACGGCATCCTCCCATCTCCAGTCTGGGAAGGACGCTGGGAGCCGGGCACCTCTGGGCAATCTGCACCACGTCCATGGACCAAGGAGAGAGAGGCACTCCTGAATTTCCAGCGTGGCCCTTTGTGCTACCCCTGGCCTCCTGAGCTGAGGACCAAGGCAGTGCCACCATGAGCCCCCAGGGCTCTAGCAAGTCCCCTCTCCCCTGGCCAGCTGCCAGGTTGGGTCCTCCCTCACAGACCTGGCAGCAGGCATGTGTTTCTACAGGGGACCTTCCCAAGCAAGTCAAGATGAAGAAACTCACCAAGTTGAAGACCCTGGACACCAAGCCAGGTGAGGAGAAAGGGCCTCGGGGGTTACAGGATAAAACCACCTCTGGGACAGGGAGAGGGACAGGACAGGGCCAGCCAGGGTGAGCGATTGGCCAGCCTGGCATGGAGAGACAAGACCCCCTCACCTCTCAGACTCTTCCCAGCCTGCTGTGGAAAAGTGCTCAATCTTGTAGCACCTGGGGATGTCCCGGGAAGTGCATTGAACGGGCTTTCCTCTCCCCCAGGGCTCTACACATCCTACAAAACCTACCTGCACAAAGACAAATCACTTATTAAGAGGCTGTTGAAGGTGAGTGTTGTGTGTGTGTCCCCATCCCCCGTCACCCCTGCCATGCCCAAGCGTCCTTGTCCCTTGTCTGAGGCTGGCCACAGGAAGAAGGGGTCCTGGGCACTCTCTCCCTGCAGGGCATCCAGAGGAAGCGTCCTTCAGAGGCGCAGAGCGCACTGGTTCGACGACACCTCCTGGAGCTCACCCAGAGTTTCATCATCCCTCTGGTGAGTGGGAATGCGCTGTCCCCCACCCCCAAATGCCCCTCGTCATCTCAGGAGCTGTGGTGCCTGGGCTGGGCTGGGCTCATCCCCGAGTGGGCCAGGAAGGGAGTGACACAGAGAGCCCAGTGGGGAGTCAAGCAACAAGCATTGTTTAGGCACTTAATGTATGCCAGGAACTGGGCGAAGCTCTGGGGGTACAAAGCAAGGCAGAAACAGCCCCTGTGCCCAGGGAGCTCCCATATTGAGAGGAAAGACAACATGCTAGGAGCTCAGCCCCTCCAGAGTAAATGGAGTCAGAGAGAGGAGGCTCCAGCAGCTAGAGATGGCGGGCCATTGGGGGACCTCCCTTCTAGGCTTGACTGTGACTAGGGCTTCCCTTCTCCTCAGGAACATTACATGGCAAGCCTGATGCCCCTGCAAAGGGCTGTCACGCCCTGGAAGGTGAGTCTGAGCCCACCAGTCCAGCCCCGGCCATGCCCCATCACAGGCAGCGGCACCTAGCTCCCAGCCCCGGATCAGCCTCCTCTTCTGCAGGCTGTGTGCCAGGCGTGGGGCCCTAACCCTGGAAGAAGACCCCTGGGCCTGGCCCTTAGAGCTGTTCTCTGCCTCAGACTCCTCCCCAGATCCGTCCTTTCCACCAGGATGACTTCCTGAAGAGCCTGGAGCATGCTGGTCCCCAGCTTACCTGTGTCCTCAAGGGGGATTGGCTAGGCCTATACAGGTAGGGACACAGCAGGGCTAGGGGGGGCAGGGGGAGGCTTGGGGAAGGGAGAAATGAAAGGGGAACAGTACGTGACAGGCTGTCACACAGGAGAGGGCTGAGCCATGTTCTGCGTGGCCTCAGAGAACAGAATCAGAAGAGGCAGTGTTCAGGGCCTGGGTGAAGAATGTTCTGGAAACTGGCCCTCCCCAGCAGTGAAGACGGACGAAGACACTTCATGCCAGTTACCTCCTTTCAAGTCTCCCGACTGGCCTGCTGGGAGGTGGGCACCATGGGTACTGTCATTCCCATTTTGCAGATGAGGAAACTGAGGCTGGAAGAGGTTAGGTGACTTGCCCAGCTAGTAAATGGCTGTGGCAGGGTCTGAGCCCAGGCCTTTGTCCCTCCACCGAGGAAGCACCTCAGAGCAGGCTGTCAGCAGAGGCTGGCTAACCACTCCTCAGGGACTGCTTCAGGAGGGGCATAAACACTGGCAGGCCCATCTAGCTCTGGGGCTGAGGAAGCGGACCTCCCTCTGCAGCCTGGTGCCGTGAGCTGAGGCCTTACCGCGTAACCAGCAGGGCTGCTTCTTCTGCTCCTTGGAGGCGTGGTGTTGCCCTCCCCCGCCTGAAGGGTCTCCCGGGCCTGACCCCAGGCTGACCCTCTTTCTCCTGGCAGGCGATTTTTCAAGTCTCCTCATTTTGATGGCTGGTACCGGCAGCGGCACAGGGAGATGACCCAGAAGCTGGAGGCGTTGCACCTGGAGGTGATCTGTGAGGCGGTGAGTGGAGACGGTGCGGGATGTGGGGCGACCGAGGCTGGCCTTAAAGGGGAGACAGTGGGTTTTTTTCTTTTGGCAAGGCAATTAGATTAAGTGACTTGCCCAGGGTCACACAGCTAGTAAGTGTCAAGTGTCTGGTCTAAGACCGGATTTGAACTCAGGTCCTTCTGAGTCCGGGGTCAGTGTTCCATCCACTGCATCACCTACCTGCCCCAAAGGGAGCATTTTGAATGGGGTTCGTGGGCTGGCGGATCAGGGAGACACCACTGTCAGTCACCTGCTGTGAGCCAGGCCCCGAGCTGGGGCTGGGGACAGCCTATGGAGAAGGTGGGGGCTCTGAAATGTGAAAAGGGGGAGGAGAGAGCGTTCTGAGCACAGGAGGTAACACATCAGGTGTGAGAGGAGCGAGGACGGGCCATCACAGGGAGTCTGTGAGTCCACGAGGACCGGTTGGGCCAGGGTGTGGAGGGCTGACCCCAGAGGTAACAGGGAGCCGCTGTGACTGTTAGGCGGGGGGTGGGGCTTGGCCCTGAGTCAGAGGGACCAGCGTGGGGGCCTTGGGTGGAGGCCGGCAGGCGAGAGGGACGTCGTGGAGGTGGCAGTGCCCAGCTTTGGTAGCTGTTGAGGCACAGGGGCCAGAGAGGGGGAGGAGGCTCGAGGATTTGGCAAGGCCAGAGCGCCACACAGCATGTGCTGTCCAGATGGGCAGGACGGAAGATGGGCCTGCAGAACTGGCTGAATGACCAGACCCCAAGCGCTCCTTCAGGCCCTTAGCCTGGGGAGGAGCCTGCTTCAGAGGAAGGTGACCAGCGTGGGGAGGGTGCTAGGCGTGCTGCTCCTGGAGCAGAGGAGACCGGGGAACCTGCCTGTCTTTAGAGGATTCGCCTTTTCTCCTTGGCTCCAGGGGCAGAACCAGGAATGGGAGCTACTGCAGTGCGGGTGTAAACTTGATATTAGAAAATAAAGCCTCGGGTGCTGGGCTGGGCAGAGAGGAGTGGCCCCGGAGGCTGCCGGAGGGGCAGGGTCCAGGGCCAGGGCCGCAGGAGACAAGTGTGGGAGAGCGAGGCTGGGAGACAGCAACCCAGCAAGGGCCCAGGCCTGAGAGGGAGGCCAGCACAGCCCTGCTCTCTCCCTGCAGAACATCCTGACCTGGATGAAAGACAAGTCTGAAGTAGAGATCGTCGATCTGGTCCTGAAGCTTCGAGAAAAGCTGGTGAGCTCCCTCCCTCCTCCCTTCCTCACTCCTCCCTTCTTTCTTCCCTCCCTTCCTTCTCTCTCTCCTTCCATTCCTTCTTTCCTTCCTCCCTTTTTCCCTTGCTTTCTTCCTCCTTTCCTTCCCTCCTTCCTTTCCTCTCTCCCTCCCTCCTTTCTCTTTCCCTCTCTTCCCTGCCCCTTCATCAGGTATATAGCCTTGAAGAGGATGGGGGGCATACCAGAGGAGGCCCTCCTTCCCTCTGGCCACCGCAGGTCCTTCTCCACAGTCCTGAGGCCTGTAATGTCTACGTTCTCTGTGTTCTGAGCAGCCAGCTCCATGCTCATGTCCCAAGAAGCCTAGACCTTGGGAGGCCTGGGGCTTGGGGCTCCATGGAGAGACAAAACTGGATTTTCTCCCACTCAGGAATCCCTTCCCCTCCCCCAGATTCAGGCCCAGGCTCACCGGCTCCCGGTGAAGGAGGAGACGCTGCAGCGGGTGGCTCTGTATATCGACACTGTCATTGGTTCCCTGCCTGATGACCTGCAGGCCGTCCTGCGGCACCCCTGAGGTCATGCTGCTCTTCAGGCTTCCAGAAGAAAGGGAGGACTAGAGGTTGCCCAGTCCTGCCAAGCCTTCTTGGCCCTGGCCCCTCTGAGCTCTGGGCTGGGAGGGTAAGGAGAGACCCAGGAGGCCAGGCTGGGCAGGAGGGAAATGGGTGATGAGTGGCCAGGCTTCTCCTTCCAGCCACACCTTGCTCCCTGGGGGGCTGGGCCCAGTGGAGTAGGAGCCTGGGACTTCAGCCCCTTCTTCCCCTTTCCTTCATCATGACTGCCTCAGGAGCCTCTGGGAGGGGCTGTGCTGGACCCAGCCTCTGTTAGGGCAGGGTTTACCAGCTGCTCAGCACTGCAGAGACCCTTCATTGGAAGGACCACCATGCAGGGAGCCTGAGGGCGGGAGCCAGGACAGCAGCCAGGTGGGCCCTTCATCTGCATAGTCCCCTGCCCTTTCCCTGGGACTCTGCTTGGGCTCCCACGTTGTGCCCGCCCCAGAGAAGGCTCCTGCTGAGCCCAGGTGAAGGATAAGGGGCCTGGTGCCAAGCAAGCCCTTTGCGTTCCACATCCCGTTTCAAAGCAGGGAGCTTCAGCCAAGCACAAGCCGACCCCGTTGCCTGTTCCCCTGAGCCCCCTCCCGCAGCCCTACCACCACCCCTTATGCTGAGGGCCGGGCCCGGTGGGGCAAGGCCAAAGCAGCTGGCTCTGCTTTCCCATCTCACCAGAGAGCGTGGGCCCTGTCTCCAGCTGGCTCCTGGAGTTTCCTGTGGGCCTGGATAACTGAAGCCATCAATCCGTCTAATAGTAAAGGAGATTGTTTTAAACGGTGGACTGTGCCCTCTCTGGCTGGGCAGGTATGGGGGAGGCTGGCCACATCAGGGCGTCACCCCAGCAGGAGGAAGCTATGGACATGAGTCCCGCCTCCCCAATCCCCTCGCTGGTGCCCAGACAAGGGAGAAGGGCCAAAAGGGTCTCTCGGGCAGAGATGGGGGTGTTAGCAGGATCCAGGCCTGAGCGGGGAGGAAAAAAGGGAGGGCTCGACGAAGGAGATTGGGTTGGCAGGATGGGTGTGCGTGTGCACGGGGAAGGCTGTTGGCTTTGTGGTGCCCAGCAGGCACACTGCTGAGATGAGACATGAACATGGGCTGAGATCTGGCCCCTTAGGTGGTGGACCTCGAGCTCTGCTTTCATTTCTGTGGTGCCTGCTGCCTCCCATCCGGAACTGGCCTGCAAAGCATTCTGGCCATGCCGTCCCGTTGAGGGTGTCTGTTGTTTGCCCTCACCCCACCCCACCCCACCCCAAAACAAACCTTAGTGGGTCAGTGAGCAGGCCCTGGCGATAAAGACATAAAGAACGAAGCGAGCATTACGTGGGCCGCTCACGTGAATAAGTGGCCACAAGAATCCAGGTGGGCTTGACGCATGTCCTTCCAGAGGACTTCTCCCCTTCCCCTGCCTTGGGCCAGGTTCTGCCCTCTCTGGGTCTGGAGTCCACCTGACTCAGTACTAGTGATGGGAGAGGCCCAGGAGTTCATGCTTCCCTTTGGGGCCATGCCAACCTGAGGCCTGCTGGCCTTCCCGATTCAGAAGGCCTAGGTTTCTCCATCGCCTGTCCTACCTTCTCTGCTCCAGGAACTGTATGTATTTCCTCTTCTGTCCCAGCACCAGCCCATGGGTGCTCTACATTCCCTCTAGGGGCCGTGCCTTGAAGTCTCCTGGCTGCATCTGTGCCCCCTCTTCAGGGCTAGCAACTTGAGTCATCAATGTGCCTGAGACAGAGGCTGATGTAGTGGGCTGAAGACTGGAGTTCACACCTTACCTTATTCAGGAGGTCATGGAAACCAGATGGGGCTCCTTCGCTCTCCTCCTCCATCAACACAAAGAACCCAGAGGCTATAATACAGATGGGGGGCAGGGAGCTTTGAAAGGTGCAGGGGACGGAGGCCTGGGAGGTTTGCTAAAACATCCGAAGGAAGAGTCCAAAAAGACCTGATGAGGTGAAATGGAATGGGATAAATGTAAATGCTTGTATGCCCAAGGTGAGGAAGGCAGGCATCAGAGGTTGGGGGCGAGGGCCCAGCGTGGGGTGACAATGCCCAGAAAGTGGCTAACGTGGTCTCAGGCTCAGAGGGAAGCAGTGGCCAGAGCAGGGGCACGGTGGTCCCCTTTGGTCACAATCCACCTGGTTTTGGGGCCTGGGTCCATGTTTGAAGAACATTGGTAAGCAGCCATGTGTCCAGGGGAGGGTGATCACCCAAGAGTCAGCTGAAGGAGTTGGGCGTGGTTAGAAATTGAAGACTGAAGTCTGGAGGTGCCTCATCTCAGAGGGCCTCCACTGAGCAAGAATTCCCTCTGATCCCATGAGGGGTCTCCCTGTCTGGGCAGGGGCCAGGGGGAGCATTGCCTCTGGGGACAGATGGCCCACTTTCACCATTACCTTTAGTTCTACCCTTCAAGACTGAGCAGAATAAATGAATCCAGTTTTCTAATGGCAGCTCTTCTGATACTTGAAGACAACAGTCTTCAAGACCCCAAGTCTTAACAGGCTTTTATTAAGCATTGCGTGCCAGGCCCTGTGCTAAGTTCTGGGGACAGAACTAAAGAAGACGGGAGGACGATCTGTGCTGTCAAGCAGCTCATTCTAATGGGGGAAATGTCCATGCAGATTACATATGCGTGTATATATGGGGCAGCTAGGTGGTGCAGTGTACTGGCCTGGAGTCAGGAAGACTCTTCTTCCTGAGTTCAAATCTGACCTCAGATGCTTACTAGCTGTGTGACCCTAGCCACGTCACTTCACTCTGCCTTAGTTTCCTCATCTATAAAATGAGCTAGAGAAGGACATGGCAAATCACTCCAGTATTTCTGCCAAGAAAAACCCAAATGGGGTCATGAAGAGTCAGACACAACTAAACAACGACTGAAAATACACACACACACACACACACACACACACGCACACACACACACCCCCTTGATAATATAAGGTAGCGTCAGTGGGGAAGGCTTCCTGCAGAAAGTTGGGAGGGAAGCTAGGGAAAAAGAGGTGTGGAGAGAGAGCGTTCCAGTCCGGGGAGACGGCACGAAGGCACAGGGTGGAGGCGGAGGGCTGGGTGAGAAGAACAGCAAAGAGGTCAGTGTGGCTGCATCACACTTTGTGGTGTGGAGCCTGTCAGGTGATAAACACTTAGTAAATGCCTCTGTATGCCAAGCACTGTGCTAAGCACTGAGGGTGCAAAGGGAGACTGTTCCTGCCCAGGGCGGTCCCCTGGAGGAGCTCACCCACCCCTCTGAGCATCTTCACATAGTGACTCACACTGAGTGGACACCCGGGTCTCCCCTCCCTTCCATCTCCATTTCCCCCCAAGTACTAAGCATTTTTGGTTTGGTTTTGTTTATTTTGGTGAGGCAATCAGGGTTAAGTGACTTGCCCAGGGTCATACAGCTAGTATCATGTGTCTTAGGGCAGATTTGAACTCGGGTCCTTCTGACTCTATCCACTGCGTCACCTAGCCGCCCTATACTAATCATTTTTTTCTGTTCCTCTCATCTCTCCCATCTCCTCCATTAAACAATTTTAAAAAAGAGAAAACCCCCCTGCAAACCCATCTATACGTACAGATTCCCACGTAAGCCATGTCTGAAATGTACGTCTCAGTCTGCACTTTGGCTCTATCCTGCCTCTGGGAGGAGGAGATGGCCTGTGAGCTTTGTCTCTGGGCCTCTGGAAGCCTGCTGATTGCTTCGGTCGGACGTCTGGGGTTTCTCGTGTTGTTTTCTCCTGCCGTGTCCTATACACTGTTCCTAGTTCTCTTCCCTTCACTCTTCATCAGTTTGTTGAAATCCTCCCAGTTTCCTCGGAGACTATTTCATCATTTCCTAATGGTGCAATAATATTCCATTACGTTCACTTGCCATAATGTGTTAGGCATTCCCCAGTGACGGGCAACCCCCTCTGTTTCTAGTTCTTTGTTTTAACAAAAAGAGCAGCTATCAGTATTTGCACACTCAAGCATCCTTATCCTTGGGATAAAGCAGCAGAATCTTTGGGTGAAAGGAAATAGTTCAGTGACTTTGTTCCTCCTTTCTTAAGTGGTTTAGACCCCACTGCAGAGGGGAGAGCAAGCAGAAGGGGAGTTGCTAGAGGCTGCATCCCCAGGCAGGCAGGGCCCAGGTCACCTGGCCTCCACCTCCCACACTTCTGCTCGTGGAAGGCCCAGGGGGGCCATCCTGAGCAGACCTCCGGCAGGGGAACCAGAAGAAGGGCCCCCAGGCGAAAGCCTTCTCTCAGCAGGCCGCAAGTAGGCTGCACTTTCCATAACAGCCTGCAGGTGGTAGGAGGAGGCCAGGAAAGCCAGCCCAGGATTTTTTCCATCACATTCACACTCAGCATCCTCTGGGCCCCTGGTTCTTCTGGAAGCCTAGGAGGAGGGATGGATGGGAATGTTCCCAGAACAGCACCACAAAGGCAAGCCCAGGGCACGGCTGCCCTGCCTGAGAAGCAGCCTGGCGGTGCTTGGAGACAAGAGGACCTATATTCAAATCCTGCCCTAGACACTTGTGAGGTGGGTGACCCTGGACAAGTTACAGATATCCCTGCAAGCTCACAGGCTCCGTCCCTTAGCTCTCAGGCCTCCATTCTACCCCAGCCACGCACATCCTCCGGGATGTTTCACTCCTTTGGCCTCTCCTAGCTGCCTCTCTGGCGCAGCTAGGGGGCACTGTGGTCAATAGAGTGCTGGGCCTAGAATCAGGATCCCTGAGTTCAAATCTGGTCTCCTAGCTGTGTGACCCTGGGCAAGTCACTTAACTTTGCCTCAGTTTCCTTATCTGTAAAATGACCTGGAGAAGGAAATGGCAAACCACTCCAGTATCTCTGCCAAGAAAACCCTAAATGAGGTCACAAAGAGTCAGATACAAAATAACTGAATAGCAGCTGCCTCAACTTCTCTCTTAACCTGTCTTTGTCCTCTTTCCTAAGCACTAAGGTAAAGGTCTGTAGCCATTCCAATGACTGGGCTAGCTTGGATAAAGTAAGGAGGGCGAGCCAGAGACCTATCCTGCCCCAGCCATCGGGGTCTGAGGTCCAAAAAGACTGAGCTTTACCCCCAGGGGGCCCCCCACCTCTGCAAAGAGTCCTCCCTGGATTTTTGCTCTCCCACATCTTTCAGGCCTCAGGCCCAGAAGCCCACTCATCATTTAGCAAATCAGAGGAAGGCCCAGGGAGCACAAGCTTCTGCCCTGGAGGAGGAACTATTGCCAGGCCCACGGAGTCCCAGGTGCAGAAATCAGGGCAGCCTTTGTGGTGGGGTGGTGGAGGCACTGGGAAAACCCCCTTACTCAGGCCTGAGCTGCCTGACCTCCTGCCAGCAGTGTCACTAGCTCCTCACTAAGCAAATGGCCTAAGATGGTATTATCAGTCCGCGTCACTTTGGAGTAATCGAGCTATCAGAACTTTTCTACTGGACAGCTCAAGCTGCAGCCCTAGACCCAGGCAGGGAGGGTAGTGGACAAGCAGAGGCTCAATGTTATCAGGCCAGGTCGAATCCCGCCTTTGGCTTTTGCTGGCTCCCCAGAGCCGCAGTTTCTTCATTTGCAAAATGGCGGAAATAATACCTGCTCTCCCTCTCATCCGGGGTTTTTATGAGTAGAGTGCGACAGACATGAAGCACTTTAGAATGGGTGCCCCCACCCTGCAAAGCCCACCCCTTCCGTCTCCCTCCAGTCCCACCCACCCCCTGCACCACCAATTACCGGGCCTATTTCCTGTCTGGTACCTTCACATTTCTACCTCTTCAACCCCCATCCCCCAATCCAAAGTACTAATAGGAGGGGGCAAGGGGGCGAGATTGGTCTGAGGTTGTGGGCATACTGG